CATTGCGAAAAGGGTGGCTGGCGAAGTGGGCGATTGTTTGATCCGGTCTGACTCGACGCATCTTGACGACTCGAGACCACCGGCCAAATAGTTACGTCGAGCATGTTCCACATGCCCACCCCAAACCGTCCAGTCCCCTCCCGCCTTCCCCCCCACCCCCACGAAGAGTGGGATCGAGCAGGTGGAATTGACAGATTTCGATGTGATTATGTCTCGAGCTATCAAAACTTATTCCAAATGCATGTTGATTTGCGGGGAGAATACATGTTTGCAGCCTGTCTTGATGATCACATCTGCACTCGCTCTCTCTCTCTCTCTCTTTATCCCTCTGCTCCAATGACACTTCTGGCCACGTGCTTGTCTCTCTGTGTGTTTGCGTGTATGCTAGTGTGGTGGAGAGGTGAATTTGGTGTCAATTTACTCGAAGCATTCCAGTTCGAGTCTCGCTGAAGGTAATTATGGAAGAGACTGTCGTCGAGTCTGGCCTCAATGAGACTTTTGAGACCGGTTCATTTGGTTGTAGACAAAAGTGAATGATCTGCCGTTGCTTGGGGCAATGCGATTTGGTGAAGAGATTTGAAGAAGACGACCAGCAGCGCTTTCCTCTTGGCCAGCTGCCAATTTTTGTCGCTGTCTTCGAGGCTATCTCTTGCGCTTTCGTCCGTCACATGACCCACCTCATCAGACCAGATGGTATCATCCTTACGGCATATTTAAGCTAATGAGTTGGGAAAACTGACCGGCTTATCAGCAAATGCTGTATGCACATAGTCTAAAGCTAAGCTTGTTGATGAGAAATAGAGACTGAAAAACATGAAGTTTGATCAAGGCAATCGGTTTTTCTTAATTATTTGCAATTAACATATTCCCCTGCATCACATACTACTCACTCCTTTTTAAGTAACTCGGCTTAAGGCTTGCCCACTTTTCTCTCTTTCTCCCACTCGTCTGCTCGTCTGCAGGAAGTACAGCTTTCACTTTTCACCTGATTGCCCTTTTACCCTTAATACCCCCTTCCAGAAACACCTCGACCTGACTATGCTACTTCTCTGCTTAAAGTGCCCAGGTTCGAGTCTCGTTTTATAGAATTCAGGCACTCCGATTGGCGCAAGTGTGGGCACACACATGTTTTGTGTGTGTTTATGTAGAACCTTTTGCCTTGACAGCATAATTAAGCTAATGAGTCGAGAAAACTGGCCGGCTTATCAGCAAATGCTGTATGTATACGCTAAAGCTAAGCTTTTTGATGAGAAATAGAGACTTAAAAATATG